GGATCAAAGTGGGTGAAATTGCCGATGCATAAACACTGTCGAGACCGCTAACTTCATGGGAGCATAATTCCGGAAGTTTTCCATTAAATTTCATACTTTTGGCGTCATTACGATCGGGAAAAGATTCTTTATCATTTCAGGGTCGAAAAATTTTCGACCCTGAGAACACGTTTAGGAGAGGGCCTCTCGACCCTGAAAGGGTTAACGATGAATTTGTTTACCGATGAGGTCTTAGGAACAGAACTGTTAAGTGAGGAAAGGCTGTACAGTACTTTACATAAATAGCATATAACCACAAACCAAATCCAGATAACTTAAAATTTTATATAATCCTAATTTCCTTTTTTGACAGCCATCCCCCCCCTCTTTTTTTTTTTTTTTAAGAATACCTGATGTATTGCTTGTATCCTGTCAAGCATACAAATTGAACCATTTCTCACCATACTGTCAAATTTCAATAAAATCTGACACTACCAGCATTAACAGAATACAGTCCAGCAAATTACACAAATAGTATTAGTTTATTATAAACATCTTTGGCATAACTGAAAAATAATGTTGTAATAACCTACTTCTTAGTGTATGGTTCAACAAGAAGTCCTACATTATCCCAAGACTCTGCCAGGAATGGTGGGGCCAGACTGTTGAGACGTTTCACAACCTCAGAGAGATGCATGCTGAAAAGCCAAATTTATATATTACATTACTGTATTAAAAAGGCATTTAGTCAGCTATTTTAGGTGCACTCATGGAGATAATACAGTATTAAGATACTTTTGCCTTCTTAATTAAAACAGCATTTTATTTAAAATTTGGAGTCATTAAGCTGTAATGCTTGTATACTTCTGGAAAAACACCTAGAGACTGACGAAAAATGTGTTTCCTTCTTGAGTTACACTGCCTTGATAGGAAGGCGGGAAAATACAATAATTAAAATGCAGATGGTCGAGATGGAAAGCATATCAAGCAAATTACAAGTTTTTATGCTCTAAGATATTTCTTCCTATTAGTTTTGTCCAAGATGGGCAAAAATTCAACCAAAATTTAGCAGAAGTGCAGTATTAATTATGTACCTGTAATGTCTAATGTGAAGGAATCTTCCAACAGGCCAAGACAGAACACTGAAGCTCATTAGTTAAATACCCTGAAAAAAAAAAAAAAATTGTGTATTATTTTAAACCCAGATAACATGGAAATCATGAATAAAAAAAAAAAAATTTGTAACAACGTACTAATATGATCAATTTCATCAAGTAGAAAAAGGGTTTTTATATGATTATGACATACTTTTATAAATAGCCAATTTCAGATAACCAGTACCTTGAATATTAATATGTAATATTTTATTTTTTTACAAGAAAAGGGGGTAACGGGGTTTAATTCTTATTTAATGCACCCCACACCCTTTCCCAGGTCCCAATTACGAGGGAAATAGGGTGGGGCCCCCAATTTTTTCTTTTGGGCAATATGGTATGTGTGAAAAAAGGGGTTTAAAGGAAAGCTTTTTTTTTTTTTGGGTCCCCTTGCCTTGGTGGGAAGACTGGCAGTGTTAAACAGTATGGATCATACAGCAGTTATAATGGTCGCTGGCAGTTTTTGTACCCATTCTACTATTTGCTACTTGTTTTTAATTTCAGTTTTTTTGTTCAGTTTTCATTGTCATTTTGCCATTTTTTTTTTACCCATACACTGAACTGCTCTGATATTTAACCCTTTGACTGTCGAGGTCGTATAGTATATACGTCATACGAGGTACCGTGTTTGACGTGTATATACTCAAATTCTAGCGGCTTCAAATCAAGCAGGAGAAAGCTGGTAGTCCCACATGAGAGAGAATGGGTCTGTGGTTGGTGTGCACCATAAAAAAATCCTGGAGCAAGCAGTGCATAATGAGAAAAAAAAAAAGTTTTTTTTTAATTAAAATTCCGACTTTGTGGTCTATTTTCGTATAGTATTTATGGTTGTATTCTCGTTTTCTTGGTCTCGTTTGATAGAATGGATAACATATTATATAAATAGAGGTGATTTTGATTGATTTTACTATAAAAAGAACCTGGAAATGGAGCTCAAAGTAGGGGAAATGTTTGATTTTTGCCGATGTTCAAAAGTAAACAAATGATGTCATTGTTCAATAAATGTCCAACTAGCCATTTAATATGCAGTCATGAATGGGTTGATGTTATTTATACAATTATTACAGTATAGCAGTAGTCTGCATAACAGTAAATCTTTATTTTTTGTTTGAATAAAAATTCAAAATAATATCAGAGTAATATCAGAGGGGCCTGGATGTGACCGATGAACAAAGAAAATGTTATTTTAGAGCCAGGAATATCTGCATTATTCATTCTGGACCTTATTTTGAAATTGTCATATTTTTTAATTTTCGTGAAATTGGCCAAATTGCACATTTCTGACCACGTTATTGGGTAGTTGAAATTGGTAAATGGGCAGTTTCTTGTACTCAATCGATAGAAAAAATGCATTTCTAAAAAAGTAATTATGAGTTTGGTCGACTGGAACAATGGAATTAGCCGAAAATAGGGCTCAAAGTGGGCAAAATAGCCGAGGTTGCTAACTTCGCGAGAGCGTAATTCAGTCAGTTTTCCATCAAATTTCGTGTTTTTGGCGTCATTACAATCGGGAAAAGATCTCAATCATTTCATGAGATTTTTTTTTTTTTTTTTTTTTTTTAATTTTGCGACACCAGGAGACACTTCAGAATTGGGGGTTGTGACAGTCAAAGGGTTAAATTTCTATTAATAATCATCCATGCCCAAATTTTTATCCCATTTCATTATCTTATGACAACTGCTGGCTACTTTATTGTTCCAAATTGTATATTATGCTAAATAGCACAACTTTGACTATTTAAAATAAAAAGCTGCTAAATTATCAATAAAAATAATTTTTACATACTGCAGTACAGTGGAACCTTGGTTTTCATCATTAATTCACTCCAGAAAGTCTGATGACAACTGAAGCAATATTTCCTATAAGAAATACAATGTAAATCCACTTAATCCATTCCAGGCACCCAAAAGTATAAACAAAAAATACATTTTATAGAGAATAACTATAGTTTTACATACAGAAAACAATGATTAATAAATATAAAGGACTAACGAAATGGACAGATGAACATTTATTATCACTTGCCCTTACTGAAGACTTGTTGGCGTATGGAAGTCGAGAAGAGGAGGAGGAGGAGGAGGAGGAGATTATTGGTTGGAAGGGAAATCATCCTCCATAAGGACTTCAGCTATCAAGTCCTTATCCAAGGTTGCCTCCCTTCTTTGTCTTGCATGGCACTGGACCCTGCCACACAAAAAAAATCTGTCCAGAAAGGTCTGTTTCTGGTGTGTCTAAGATTTGCTTAAAATGGGACAAGGCATTGTCATTGAACATGTTGCAGACAGTTTGCAAGAGCATTGTTAGGGTGATATTTCTCCATAAAACTTTGCAACTCTCACTGCTTTGCACACGTCCTTAATCTCTGAAGGCGGCACATTCTCCCCTTTCGCTTCCTCCTCCTCCTCCTCCTCCTCCTCCTCCTCTGAACCATTTTCCTCGGCTGCGATCTGTTGCTGATCCAGTTGAAGGTGTTGCAACTCTTCAGTGGTTAGCTCTTCCCTGTGGTCGTTCACCAACTCTTCCACACACTGGCCACTCGCATCCAACCCGATACTTTGCTAGAGTTTTCTTGAATTCTGTCGTGTTTCTCACCTTCTTTATCACAGGGCTGGCACTCAGAACTTTCTTTGGCCCCATGGTGGCTTATTTAGCAGTTGCACTCAATAAACAAGCACAAAAAAACAGATTATGAAGAATGATTGAAGACCCTTAAATTACATTACTTGTTAGATGAACAATGCGGGGAGACATGATTGAAGTAAGTGGAAGATGGGTATTAATAAAGGGGATATAAATAAGGTCTTGAGGATCTTTCTCCAAGAGAACCCACAGTAATGGATTCAGATTAGACAAGTTTAGATTTAGAAAGGATATAGGAAAGTATTGGTTTGGAAATATGGTAGTTGATGAGTGGAACAGTCTGCCTAGCTGGGTTATTGAGGCTAAAACCTTGGGTAGTTTCAAATTTAGGTTGGATAAATACATGAGTGAGGGGTTGGATTTAAGTGGGACTTGCACATGAGTGGATAGAGTTAACAGAGCTTATTTCTTGGGTGGCATTAAATATTTTGTTAGTGGGATGGATTGTAAAGGACCTGCCTAGTATGGACCAACAGGCCTGCTGCAGTGTTCTTCCTTTCTTATGTTCTTATGGATGAATGCACAGGGTAATGGTCACTCGACAAGAAAAAGCCAGACTGACTCAGAATGCATGGGATGCTTTGTGTGGGCATGAGCAGGCGGACATGTTTGGTACGGCGGACCGACGAAAACCGAGAAATGAAAAGTGGGACAAAATTTTGATGAAAAATGTCTAAAACCAAATTCGATGAAAACCAGGGCAAACGAAAACCAAGGTTCCACTGTATATAGTATTGAATTTCTTTTTCAACCACTGTACATAATGCCAATACTGTACCCTTCAGTATATGTGAATAATGGGGAAAAAATTCTGGGTGGGCAAGTCAGTATTCTACATTACATTATTAACATAATCAAAAGGAAGCACTAAACCTACAAGGTTCATACAGCCTACACTACACTAGTTACGTACAATGGGGAAAAAATTCTGGGTGGGCAAGTCAGTATTCTACATTACATTATTAACACAATCAAAAGGAAGCACTAAACCTACAAGGTTCATACAGCCTACACTACACTAATTACATACAATGGGTTCACTGAAGTACAATCAAGCATACACTAAATTCCCTCAGAGATACTGTCAAACTAACACTTCAGCTAGATAACCTGTGCACTACAGCATGAAGATACAGTCCTAACCCTATTATTAGATTCTGTGTTTTTATGTAAACCATTCACAAGTGCTCACAATGGTTCATCATTAAGGACAAGGATATACGTACTCTAATTGGAATATTTTAATTTTATTACCCAAATTAAAGATTTTTAACATTAGTTGACTAATATTTACACTAATTATAACTAAGGATAAATACATTTAATTATCATAAAACAAATGAATAGTATTTCTGCAAGCACTGCATTTCTTTCATATCACTTGTAGTTATATACATGCAGTACAATACTTCAGTGAAATATGTAAATCAGACAAGAATAACCCATATCGTGGCCACAAGAATTTCTTACAATACACAAGGAATTCCACCAACAAATGGCTATCACTTTCGTGTCTCAATATTCAAAAAGTGGTTTCAGAATATTTTTGAGAAGTCCCATAACTTGACAGTTCCATCATCACTGGAAGATGCAAGTAACCCTATTACTGCTGGATTCCAGGAAACACTATTCACATCTTCTGAATGTGCCTGAGGTATTGTTAAAATAAGGTCAAACACAGGAGCATTTTTTTCCGAATTAGGATGCTCTTTGAAAATACGAATTGCATCATCTCCACATGATGTGGCAATGGCTCCTGAAAGATGGCACCAATCAATATCATAGATTGTCCGATTGTGGTACCCAGACAAAGTACACACGCATTTCCAAACAGGTTCATTGTTTGGTGTGGCAATTCCTTCAGTGTTTCCTGGTTTATATTCCTGCCAAATCTTCACGGTGTTATCATCAGAACAAGATGCCAATCGATGTCCTGAAGCGTCAAAAGCAAGACTCCAAACAGTTGATTCATGCCCATTCAAAGTGCAAAATACAGACCAGTCATCCGCATCTTCTTTGTAAAGTTTGATGCAGTTGTCATAGGAAGCTGATGCAAGAATATCAGCATTTGGATGAAAAACTACTTTTTTTACATCCTGAGTGTGGGATGGCAAGACTGATGAACACTCATACTCATCATCATCACCAACTTCCCACACCCATACGGACTTATCTCTAGAACAAGTGGCCAATAGTGACCCTGATGCTGACCAAGCAACACACTTCACTTCGTTTTCGTGACCTTCTAATGTTGCAATACACTCTATTTCATTGGCTTTACAGTCCCAGATATTGACAGTGGCATCAAAACTAGCAGAGGCCATGTTCCTTCCACAGGGAGACCATGCCACACATCGTACAGTACGTGTGTGGGCTTCACTAAGAACATTCTTGTTAATCCAAGTATCCCCTTCCTTAGCCCAAAGGCGAATAGAGCGATCAGAGCCACACGAGGTGAGGATTGTGCCCTGGGGATTCCATGATACATTCCACACTCTGTCTTTGTGGCCTGTCAATGTTTCCAGAGCAGTAGCCATCCTTCCTTTTCAGCAGTCTGGAAGAAGAAACAATGTCATGTGGACTTGTCATACTGCTCATTATATGTCAACACTGGCAATATTACCATAAACCACAAAGTGATCAACCTAAAGAAATCACTACCACTCATTCACATGATGTGTGATAAAAGATGAACGATGGTTTTTAGATGCAAACATCTAAGAGTAAAAAATTTATATATACATTGCACTACATATTTAGTTATAACAACCTGTGCTGTGCTGTAAAACAGTCATGTGACAGCAAAATCACCTCGTGTGATGAAGCATGGCAGGAAAATCAACCTGTGCAAAGGCGAGTCACTAAAACCAATCTCTGATGCGAAAGATAACCAAGCCTGTGTTGATAGAGCACAACATGAAAACCATTCAGGGTAATGGGTACATTAGGCAAACAGTTCTCACTAACCTTGCAAAATGTCATACTAGATGAAGGTAGCCAAACATTACTATAATCATAACCAAGCACTAAACCAATAAGGGTCATAAAGTACTGCAGGGTATGGTTTGCTAAAAGGTGTAATGTGCCTGATCAGAGACCAGCGATGGTAAAGAGTATAAAAGAGGTAGAGCTAGGAAGGGTGGTGAGGAATGCTAAGAGTGCTAAAGAAAATATAAACAAAGAGGCAGCCAAACAATGTTGTAGGGTATCTAATTTTAATAAAAGTTTCTTTGCATTTTTGTCCAGGATAAACCTTACCCTCTTATTTTGGATAAACTTTAAATATTTTTTATTAATATTAATAAAAATATTAATACAAGTACAGCCTCTCTTCATATAGCAGTGTACTTTTTTATTGATTCAGACTTACAACAGGTTCTCTGACCAGTATGCATACTTAAATAATGTATATTAAGAGCCGATTTCCTCTATTCTCTATTACAATACAGCCTCTTCACACTTAACAGTGGAGTACCGTTCCTAAGATCATATCGGTAAATGAATTCGTCACTAAGTGAGGAGCATACTATAATGGTAATGAGTTTGTGTCAACCATCTTTGATATTGTTTTAATGTCACCTTTGCACCATTTGTAACATTTCTAGTACATTTTTGAATGTTTATACAGTAGTGTACTGTAAGTCATTAAACAGAATAGAGGAAATCAGCTCTAATATACATGACGTATGCATACTGGTCAGAGCCCATCGTGAGTGAGTTGTCGGTAAACCAAGAGAGGAGAGGCTGTATACAGTACACTACTGTATAAACATTTAAAAATATACCAGAAGTGTTATAAATGGTGCAAAGGTGACATTAAAACAATATCACAGATGGTCGACACAAACCCACTACCATTACAGTATGCTCCTCACTTAGCGATGAATTCATTTACCCACGTGGTCTTAGGAACAGAACTCTGGCATCGAGGAGAGGTTGTAGTAATATAAATATTAATATTATTATTATCTATATGAACATGCTGAACTTCCATGAAATAAAGTGAAAGTTGTAAGTGTTATAACCAGTAGAAATAAAATGAATTAGTATGCAAAAGTTACATGTATAGGTAAATCCTGAGACTAAATTACCAACAGTTACGTAATCAACAAACCCAGATTATACAGTTATCAGCCACCACACTTAACCACATACTATACAAGGTGCTGAATGGCAGTAAAGAATAAGTGCTACCATCGCCAAAATTCAGGTTAGTGAATTAATGAATTCCTTAATGTTTCATCTGTGGTAGTGTAGATATTGTCGCCTCCATCTGTAAGTTAGCTCAAAACCTCATAAAAAGTGTGATAACTTAAGCTTCATAACTCCAGTCACCTCCATGTCTGGGTTTTTATTCCCACTGTTTGAAAGTAGTGTATATTCTTTTTTTTTGCTGTGCAGTCTCATAACTACCATGAAAATAAATCAAGTCAGTCAGGCATTGTTCCCATAAAACTTAATGATCATCTCATCACCTCAATGGAAACAAGTCACCATTTGGCTTTTTTTGGGTTATCCTAGGTAATTTACACTGCATGATAACTGTACTTATGTGTACATGTGCCTAAATAAATTTACTAATCACTTACTGCATTTACATAGACAAGGTTGAATTTGCAAAAACTGGATATACATGAACTCATAATGGCAGAGAAATTTTTTAAATGCACACCTGGGGAAATGAAGGCATTCAAGGTTAATCCAAGGAAGGGAAGAACAATTCCAGTTCCTTGAATCAACAGCCAATTTACTCTGCCTGCCCCTGAAGGGGCGGGCAGAGTAAATCAGCTGAAACACAAACATACGTAGCTTACTACAGTCCCTACAGCATTTTTTTTTGTGATGCCTATGAATGATACCTACAATAATACAAATATCTATTTTTACATGTAAAGGTTTGCAGGCCGAGCAGACATCAATGCTACATAGAAATCTGCTTATGTTGAGCACTTCGGGCAAATTAGGCAAATTTTGTCCCAGGATGCAACCCACACCAGTCAACTAACACCCAGGTACCCATTTTACTGATGGATGAATAGGGACAACAGGTGTCCTATGGAAACGCGTCCTATTTTCCAGGTGTACCAGGGATCAGAACCCCGGACCTTAGTGTGCGAATAATGACACTTAAGATAATAAAGCAGGTCGATAAAAAAAAAAAAAAAAAAAAGACGATAGAAATTTATTAAGTTAAAAGAATATTGTAGAGATATATGACTACTACATACCATGCTAACAATTCCCACATTAGACGTGTTTCTTGACACTGGTTGTCTATGTTCACCCATCAGTAAAATGGGTACCTGGGTGTTGGCGGACTGGTGTGGGCGACATCCTGGGTGTTAGCGGACTGGTGTGGGCGGCATCATGGGTGTTAGCGGACTGGTGTGGGCGGCATCCTGGGTGTTAGCGGACTGGTGTGGGCAGCATCCTGGGTGTTAGCGGGCTGGTGTGGGCGGCATCCTGGGTGTTAGCGGGCTGGTGTGGGCGGCATCCTGGGTGTTAGCGGGCTGGTGTGGGCGGCATCCTGGGTGTTAGCGGACTGGTGTGGGCGGCATCCTGGGTGTTAGCGGACTGGTGTGGGCGGCATCCTGAGTGTTAGTGGACTGGTGTGGGCGGCATCCTGGGTGTTAGCGGACTGGTGTGGGCAGCATCCTGGGTGTTAGCGGACTGGTGTGGGCAGCATCCTGGGTGTTAGCGGGCTGGTGTGGGCGGCATCCTGGGTGTTAGCGGGCTGGTGTGGGCGGCATCCTGGGTGTTAGCGGGCTGGTGTGGGCGGCATCCTGGGTGTTAGCTTGTAATCTTATGATTACAAGCATTGATCCTGATACCAACCTCTTATTTAATGACTTAAATGATTCAAACAGTTACTGTAATTACTAAACAGCAGAACAATCAAAGGCACTTCTCAGAGCTAACAACAACATAACTATCTTTAACTACAATATCAGATCTTTAAGCAAGCATTATGATGACCTCCTAGCATTACTAAATTCCTTGCATGCCAATATGTCCATCATTACACTAACTGAAACCTGGCTAAAGCCTGATACTACAGATGTCTATGCCATTCCTGGTTACACAGCCATACACAACTGTAGGCCAGACCAAGGGGGGGTGGCACTGCTATTTTACTACTCAGACCAACTAGAATGTATCACTAAAACTTGCACAAGGGGGTGAACATGGGGAATTTTAATAGCTAAAATTTAAATCCAAATGCCTACAAAAACCTCTCACAGTGATAAACATCTACAGAGTTCCACAATCAAACATTAGCCAATTTAGTCAAAACCTAGGAAGTATGATAACTGATGCATGCATGAACAAAGATCACTTACTACTCTCAGGTGACTTCAATATAAATCTCCTGCAAGACCAGGACCCACACGTTACTGAATTCACAAACACAATGAGTAACTGCATGTTGCTACCAACAGTAACAAAACCTACAAGAGTTACCTACAAGAGTTACAGAGACTAGCGTTTCCCTACTTGACCACATCTGGACCAACACCATATCCCCTTTAAAATCAGGCACAATTACAGATAATACCACAGACCACTACCCTACTTTCCTCATAACAACTCTTGGTAAAATACCCCAAGACACTACTAAAGTCACCTTCAGACTTCACAATGAGGCAGCCATTAATAACTTCACAACAGCAGTAACAAACATTGCCTGGCACACTGAGCTAGAAATCTATACAGACATTGACGAATGTTTTAATAATTTTCTAAAAAAGACCCAATACCTTTATAACATGCCTGCCCTAAAAAAACTAAACAGATGACAGCTAAGAGACTGAACAGTCCCTGGCTAACACCCAGCATTCTCAAATCCATAAATACAAAACACCGATATGAAAAACAGTACAGAATGGGTCACATAACCAGAGACCAAACAAAACGTTACTCGTCAATCCTAACCAGCTGATAAGAAGGGCAAAAAAATTGTATTATGAGAACAGATTATCCAACTTACGAGGTGTGATATAAAAAAGACTGGAAGACCCTATCAGAAATTCTGGGAACAAAAAAGATATCACGACATAGCGAAATAAAATTAGCAAAATCAGATGAACCCCAACTCCCACCAACAGAAACAGCAAACAGACTCAATGATTTCTTCTCCACTATAGGTCAAAACCTTGCCATATAAAATCCCAAGCTCAGATACCCCACCAAATGACTACCTTACTGGCAACTACCCGAAACACACTGTTCCTAGCTCCGACTAACCCATACGAAGTCTCCTTATTATCAATGCACTGAAAAACAAAGGCAGGAGATTTAAATACCTTACCACCCTTTATATACAAAAAGCGTCACAAGTACTATCACCAATCATTGCAACACTAACAAATCCATCGAATCCTCCACCTTCCTACATTTCTCAAAATAGCAAGGGTCACCCCGATCATAAAGGAGGAGACCAAACAGAGTTGAATAACTATAGGCCCAATATCCAATTTACACCTCTCAAAAATCTTCGAAAAATTAATTATAAACGAATCTACTCCTACCTCATCCCCCAAAACTTCTCAACCTGCCAATTTGGATTCAGGCCTAATAAAAATACTAATGATGCTATTAAAACACATGCTAGAAAATATATACACTGCAATAGAGAAAAAGAAGTCCCACTGGGGATCTTCATTGACTTACGTAAAGCTTCTGATACAGTTGCCCATGACTTGCTCCACGTAAAATTGTCACACTATGGTATTTAGGGGGCACCCCCTCAACTACCTCAAGTCTTCCTCCAGCAACAGAAGCCATTATGTGTACGCAATGGGGCAAGCTCTTCCGCAAAAACCAATTACAGTTGGTGTCCCACAGGGAAGTGTCCTTGGCCCTCTTCTCTTTCTCCTATACATAAATGACCTACCAAATGCTTCCCAATTACTCAACCCACACTTTTTGCAGATGACACTACATAGTCTTCCCCTCACCCGAGCCCAGTCAGTACCAATACTTTAAACACCGAATTACAGAAAATATCTCCCTGGATGAGGACTAAAACTTACACTAAACATTGACAAAACCTACTTCATTCAGTTTGGTAACAGAGCTACAGATGTACCTCTTAACATAAAGGATTCACCTATCACAAAGCTAACAGAGGGAAAATTCCTAGGAATCCACCTCGATAATACTAAAATTTTCATACACATATACAACAATTTTTTAAGAAAATCTCCAAGACTGTAGGCATACTATCGAAGTTTAGGGTTTACTATGTTCCACAGTCAGCCCTCCTGGCCCTTTATCACTTTATTTACCCCTATCTCACCTATGGAATTTGTGCATGGGGCTCAACAACAATTAACCATCTCAGACCACTAATTACCCAACAAAAGGCTGCAGTTAAAATGATAAATTCTCACTACAGACAACACACTCCACCAATATTCAAAAACACTCAACCTACTCACCATACAAAACATCCAAATTACTATTGCTCTATTTCATACATCGAACACTTAACTCTGATAATTAACCCTCCCCCCAAAAAATCTTCTTGCCAAACCTCAACAGAACACATGACCATAACCAAGGCACAGATCACTCTTTGATGTTCCTCGTGTCCATCTCACGCTATGCAAAAACTCAATGCACATAAAAGGCCCTAAAATCTGGAATTCATTACCTGTAAATAAAAAGAACACTACCCGTTTATTTAAAATTTAAGTCTCTTTCAAAGAAACACTTACTCATCAAAACCAATAAATTTCTGAATTTAAAGGGAAACCCTTTTAAAATTGTATTATCCTATATGTTACTCACAATTTACTCACAAATGTAAACCCAGGGGCCCAATCTAACTATTATTTTTTTTAAATACACTACCTAACAGAATACTCCATTCGACTGAATGTACAGCAATGCATGCAACCATATGACCTGTCTTTGTAATACTCATTTGTGCTTTATAGTTATCTGTTTACAATAATGTTTTATCACTGATTTCATCATTGCTTAGTTAATCTTAAGTTAATTTTAAGCCAGCCCGTAATGCTATGCATATAAGTGGCTTTGGCATGCTGCTCTTACCTGTATTTTTTGTACCTCTGTTTGTATGCTTAAATTACTAAAATTACTGGTGTGGGCGGCATCCTGGGTGTTAGCGGACTGGTGTGGGCGGCATCCTGGGTGTTAGCGGACTGGTGTGGGCGGCATCCTGGGTGTTAGCGGACTGGTGTGGGCGGCATCCTGGGTGTTAGCGGACTGGTGTGGGCGGCATCCTGGGTGTTAGCGGACTGGTGTGGGCGGCTTTCCCGGGTGTTAGCGGACTGGTGTGGGCGGCATCCTGGGTGTTAGCGGACTGGTGTGGGCGGCATCCTGGGTGTTAGTGGACTGGTGTGGGCGGCATCCTGGGACAAAACTGACCTAATTTGCAGGAAATGCTCAACATAACATGGGACTTTCTACATAATAGTATGTCACTGATGTCAGCTGTGATATATATACCTTGTACATGTACTTGTGGTAAATAAAGATTATTATTACCCGCCACAACAACAGAAATGACATGGTGGCCACTTTTTGGGTTATCAAGGGTAATTTACTTAAATGTTACTGTGCAATACAGTGGTCATCTACAAGTGAGTAACCGTACCCAGTCGTATAGCAACGTCAGCTTAGTAAGCTGTGGTGGGTGAACAAGCTGGAAGAGTCAGCTTGATGGAGTAATCAAGCTGGACCACAGACTCTCACCTGCACTATAAATGACGAAGAAACAGATGCTTCTTCCCTAGAAGAGCTATGTAAGGTAAAGATAAACTTCCCAGGATGAGGAGCGAGGGTAACGTGCCGGTGTACGGAGGACCAGAAGAGCGAGACGTCCACCCTTCACCAGGACTGGAGCAACACTGGTCAGCTTAGTGAAGTTGCTGTCTCATGTGCACTCAAAATATTCAAATGTTTTAAATACACCTCCATATATTGACCTATTATATATTAAATACACCTCCATATAATGACCTTATATATATATATATTAAATGCGTTACACAAGAAATATGCCTTTAAAAATAACTGAGCTTAATATATAAAAAATACATAATACTAAAACGATACACTTCCATCAGTTACAATATTAATTAAAATATTATTTTAATTAGTTTATTTTTACCTAATAAAATTTGGTATATGTTTTCAGTGCTATTGATGATAAAATAGATATAAAATTTTATTTTTACCGTGTTTGTTATACTATGCACTGCCAAGAACTAATATTTTATAATTGATAAATCTCTCTTTTTTGGCTATCTTTTAGATAAATTATAATGGTAAGTGAAAAAATATATACTTTTATATACTAATGAAAGGACCCTTGATAGCAGCATCAACGTTGTCATGGCAACCAGAGCCCTTACTGACATTAACATCTCAACTTTAACTAATAAACAAGTTTAACTAAGAAATCCCTCCTCAGTTACCATCACAGAGTGTATAATACACACAGTGGGTCTTCATGTGTGTAAAAATTTCCATATAAAGACTCCTAAAATATTACATTAACATTAACTATTACCTCAAGTTAACTGGAAGTACAAATTAACTTTTTTAATACAGTAAGACTTGTGATTAACAATCATCACTTCACTATAATGAAGGTAAGATAGGCTACATATATATTAAACCAAATATATTAACCAGTAGGCCTATATATTTGTTACTGAAGGCTGGACAACTGTCTTCCTCTCATCACTCTACTAAAACAAAAATACAAATTTCTTTACTGTGGGTCGATAGACGAAGTGAGTCTGTATAAATAGATGGCTAAAAATAAGTCGGAAAATAAAACACCAATAAATTTATAGGCCTACCCGGTAAGAATATACTACATTGCAGACATTGCAAAGACCTAAATGTTACTTAAACACCATATATGTATTTTTTTTTTCAAATTTATTATGCAGACAGACATTCCTCCAAAAATAAATGGAACTTTTTTCCAGCCATTATGAAGCAAAAAATATTTAAGTCAGATCAAAATATCAACGTTTTTAACATGGCAGAATTATATAAGGATATATAGGTTAATATATTTGTTTATGTATAACCTGAGAACAGTCATTATATATGACAGTCATTATATGACAGTCATTATATGACAGTCATTATATGACAGTCATTATATGACAGTCATTATATATGACAGTCATTATATGACAGTCATTATATGACAGTCATTATATATGACAGTCATTATATGAGTCATTATATATGACAGTCATTTATATGACAGTCATTGTATATGACAGTCATTAAATATGACAGTCATTATATATGAGTCATTATATATGAGTCATTATATATGACAGTCATTATATGAGTCATTATATATGACAGTCATTATATATGACAGTCATTATATGACAGTCATTATATATGACAGTCATTATATGAGTCATTATATATGACAGTCATTATATATGACAGTCATTGTATATGACAGTCATTATATATGAGTCATTATACATGACAGTCATTATATATGACAGTCATTATATATGATAGTCATTATATATGATAGTCATTATATATGACAGTCATTATATATGACAGTCATTATATATGGAACTCATTATATATGACAGTCAATATATATGACAGTCATTATATATGAGTCATTATATGACAGTCATTATATGACAGTCATTATATATGACAGTCATTATACATGACAGTCATTATATATGACAGTCATTATATATGATAGTCATTATATATGACAGTCATTATATATGACAGTCATTATATATGACAGTCATTATATATGATAGTCATTATATATGACAGTCATTATATATGACAGTCATTATATATGACAGTCATTATATATGACAGTCATTATATATGAGTCATTATATGACAGTCATTATATGACAGTCATTATATATGACAGTCATTATATATGATAGTCATTATATATAACAGTCATTATATATGGAACTCATTATATATGACAGTCATTATATATGACAGTCATAATATATGGAACTCATTATATATGACAGTCATTATATATGAGTCATTATATGACAGTCATTATATATGACAGTCATTATATATGGAAGTCATTATATATGAGTCATTATATGACAGTCCTTATATGACAGTCATTATATATGACTATTACTATGTATACCATTTTGATGTTCGACTATTACTATGAAACAATTTTTGCCCATATGGAGACAGAGACTTAAATTAACTGATCTGTATATTTCGACCCCCTTGTGAGACCCTCATCACCTGAAGAAGATCCCAGAAGATAGTCAAAATATACAGATTAATTAATATTTTGAGTTTGTCTCCACGTGGGTTATACCATACATACTAACATATGTTTAAATTACCCAGGACAGCCCCCCAAAAAAGGTCAAAGTGACCTATCACAGTATAGGTACGAGGTACATAATGATGTTACAGCTAACTTTCATCGGGGTCCTTGTAATATATTATTTAAACTTTGAAAGCTAAAACAGCTTAGTAAGCTTAAAACCAGAGTCATCACCAGTGTCTACACTGCTAGTAGCTGGTGAAGGTCATGGGGTTATCATAGGTGATTTACACTATGTATGATAATTGTACCTATGTGTACCTGTGCCTAAATAAACTCACTTATTGTCTTATTTTGCTGTGTCTCAATTTTTAACCTGTGGATCTTGTACTGACAGACATAATGTATGAGAAGCTTCAGTGGTATGTACTTAGTCAGTGCCTGACAGACATGGCTGTAAATAAGCAATATGTTAACAACACCAAGACCACTCAGTGTATATACAGTGACATATACATCTCTCTCAGTGTATATATAGTGACATATACATCTCTCTCAGTGCATATACAGTGGCATATACATCTCTCAGTGTATATACAGTGGCATATACATCTCTCAGTGTATATACAGTGACTATACATCTCTCTCAGTGTATATACAGTGACATATACATCTCTCAGTGTATATACAGTGGCATATACATCTCTCAGTGTATATACAGTGACGTATACATCTCTCAGTGTATATACAGTGGCATATACATCTCTCTCAGTGTATATACAGTGACATATACATCTCTCTCAGTGCATATACAGTGGCATATACATCTCTCAGTGTATATACAGTGGCATATACATCTCTCAGTGTATATACAGTGACTATACATCTCTCTCAGTGTATATACAGTGACATATACATATCTCAGTGTATATACAGTGGCATATACATCTCTCAGTGTATATACAGTGACGTATACATCTCTCAGTGTATATACAGTGGCATATACATCTCTCTCAGTGTATATACAGTGACATATACATCTCTCTCAGTGCATATACAGTGGCAAATACATCTTCAGTGTAATATACAGTGGCATATACATCTCTCAGTGTATATACAGTGACTATACATCTCTCTCAGTGTATATACAGTGACATATACATCTCTCAGTGTATATACAGTGGCATATACATCTCTCAGTGTATATACAGTGACGTATACATCTCTCAGTGTATATCAGTGGCATATACATCTCTCTAAGTGTATATACAGTGACATATACATCTCTCTCAGTGATATACAGTGGCATATACATCTCTCAGTGTATATATCAGTGGCATATACATCTCTCCAGTGTATATACAGTGACTATACATCTCTCTCAGTGTATATACAGTGACATATACATCTCTCAGTGTATATACAGTGGCATATACATCTCTCTCAGTGTATATACAGTGACATTACATCTCTCTCAGTGCATATACAGTGGCATATACATCTCTCAGTGTATATACAGTGGCATATACATCTCTCAGTGTGTATACAGGACTATACATCTCTCTCAGTGTATATACAGTGACATATTACATCTCTCAGTGTATATACAGTGGCATATACATCTCTCAGTGTATATACAGTGACGTATACATCTCTCAGTGTATATACAGTGGCATATACATCTCTCTCAGTGTATATACAGTGACATATACATCTCTCTCAGTGCATATACAGTGGCATATACATCTCTCAGTGTATATACAGTGGCATATACATCTCTCAGTGTATATACAGTGACTATACATCTCTCTCAGTGTATATACAGTGACATATACATCTCTCAGTGTATATACAGTGGCATATACATCTCTCAGTGTATATACAGTGACGTATACATCCCCTCAGTGTATAACAGTGGCATATACATCTCTCTCAGTGTATATACAGTGACATATACATCTCTCTCAGTGCATATACAGTGGCATATACATCTCTCAGTGTATATACAGTGGCATATACATCTCTCAGTGTATATACAGTGACTATACATATCTCTCAGTGTATATACAGTGACATATACATCTCTCAGTGTATATACAGTGGCATATACATCTCTCAGTGTATATACAGTGACATATACATCTCTCAGTGTATATACAGTGGCATATACATCTCTCTCAGTGTATATACAGTGACATATACATCTCTCAGTATATATACAGTGACATACACATCTCTCTCAGTGTATATACAGTGACATATACATCTCTCAGTGTATATACAGTGACATATACCTCTCTCAGTGTGTATATACAGTGGCATATACATTTCTCTCAGGTGGCCCGGTGGCCTGGTGGCTAAAGCTCCCGCTTCACACACGGAGGGCCCGGGTTCGATTCCCGGCGGGTGGAAACATTTCGACACGTTTCCTTACACCTGTTGTCCTGTTCACCTAGCAGCAAATAGGTACCTGGGTGTTAGACGACTGGTGTGGGTCGCATCCTGGGAGACAAGATTAAGGACCCCAATGGAAATAAGTTAGACAGTCCTCGATGACGCACTGACTTTCTTGGGTTATCCTGGGTGGCTAACCCTCCGGGGTTA